CCTTTTGACATCATTTCTCATAATTTATTTTGCAAAATAACTACAACAAAACAAAAGTAATCAGTGGAAAAATAATAAAAAGTATGCGTGAATTTTATAAATATATATAAAAGGTAAAACAACTTGTTTACATTCGGTTGCCGAAAAAGGCGCTATCGACGTTAACTATTCTGTGGCTGCTTTTTACATACATACACACATAGATATAGATCGTCAATAAGGCGAACGGACGTCATTTCAACTGATCCGTACGCCATTGTTTTGCTTGGCAGCATTCTTTGGACTACAACTGTGCTCACAACTTTTGTGGAATTTTATCTGATTTGCTGCTTTCATCGCGATTCTCTCCGACTGTTGACAGTGGCTGTTTTATTTTTCTTCGGAGCATTTCTAACAAATAAATTTACTTGAATGTTTTTACATTCAACAGCAACAAATACCATGTATATGTACTATATATGTATGTATGTATGTATGTATGTCTACTTTCGCGCCCATTATATTCCCACTAGAACTTGAAGGGAGATCTCCCTATGTGAGGAATAAAAGAGTACTCCCCTTAACCTGATTTCTGAGCAATAAGAGAGATTTGTCGGTTTTGTACTCCTTTATTACTCGTTTAGGAGTCAAATAAGAGATCTCCTAAGCGAGCGACGAAATATTGCTCCCTGAGGCATGATTTGGGAGCAGTAAACGAGATTTCTCGGTTTTGTACTCCTGTATTGCTCGCTTCGGAGCTTAATGAGAGATCTCCTAAGCGAGCAATTAAAGAATGCTCCATGAGGTATGATTTGGGAGCAATAAGCGAGATTTGTCGGTTTTGTACTCGGTTATTACTCGCTTAGGAGCAAAAAGTGATGTCTCCTAAGCGATAAATCCAAGAGTATTCTTTTTGATTGATAGGAGAGCAATACGCACCTCGCCCAAAAGAATTTTGTGTTTTCGAAAAAATTTATCATACAAAAAAAAACAACAGAAAATATTTCTTATAGAAGCATAAGGAGCACACAATAATTTAATTTGGATAGCACACAGATTTTAATAAAAGTCCGTTGGTATGCACTTCAATTTTTGTTTAAATATATTAAGTATGTATTGTATTACTTGTAAATGCACCCTTAAATACTTTTCAGATTGCGCAAATTAGTGTCAGCATTTAAGTGTGACCCCCGGCTTTAAACATGGCATGGGTGACAAAGATGTCAGATAAGCAAAGTCACCTTCACAATTTCCCCGCTTGGTGGATTCCTGAACTGGCAAGCATCCTTGACACCCAGGAAATCATATAGGAGTACATACTTATATGTGCATATAGGTGCATATAATTCAAATCTTATCTTACCGTTTTGTTATTATTATGTTTTAATTTCATATGATTTCTCTGCAATATATTTCTAAAATTAAGCAATTATGTAAGACGTATCATTTATGCTTTATTTTTAAGATCTTGTAATATTGCACAAATGCATGTGATTAAAAAGTTAAATAAAAAA